TTCTATTGCTTCGGTTGGTGTTGAGGGGTGTAGATTTCTTATGACTACCCTCAAAGCTCGATCTTGCCGTAATTGGTACGTATGAAAATCCGCGTTGGTTTCCGTTAGATACTTCACAATTTTTCTGTAGGTTTCAGCTGTATCTGGTGATATCTTCGTGTCCTTTGTTCTGCTTAGACATGAATAGCTTCCAGAGCCTGTTATTTTGTTCAGTTGTGAGCATAGTAACTGAAAATTGCTTATGTTTTTAACGAATATGGGTGGAGGTCGGGGATCTCTTGGTATTGAAGCGGATTCCATCACTTCTTTATCATTCTGAAGCACCTGATAGGGGTTAGGGGTGAAAAACGGAGATTGTTCGGTTATCTCTTGTGAAGATGTACCTGGTTGATGCTGAAGTTCTTCAATTGTTGGTTTTGATGATGTTCCTGGCTGGGTTTCATTTTCTCTGGAGCTAATAGGCGTTACTGCAGGTGTTTGACGACATTGACGAGGCTTTTGTTTGACAGGCGAAGAACAAGGTGTTGAGCCTAACGGCCGAATTCTCTTGATAGAAGCTCTACTAGACATGGCCTGATTGTGATATCGCATATAAGGGAAAAAAAAATGAAAAAAAAAAAAAATAAAAAAAAATAAAAATAACCCTATAATTTATAACAAACAATAAATATCAATTGTTATTATGTATTCTTGACTTGTTTTGAATGAATAATCTCAAAGATTTCACTGCAAAATAAGTAAATTCTGAGAGACGATGTAGAAACACGTCCTTTCGCATCAGCTGATCCACTGCCACTTCCGGTTAACTTTTAACCATTTTATTTTAAATAATAAAATAAACCATATTAAAGGTACTTTAGAGGAAGACATATATGAACATTGGGCATTTAAGCCCTGCAAAGTGACATCAACGGGGATAAGACCTAAATGATATTAAAGACCATTTAATTATACAATGATACACCGAGTTTGATCAAAATCGTTAAAGCCGTTTTTGAGAAAATCGTAAAAATGTGTTTCAGCGTGCATATAAAGTGGCACTTCCGGTTAGCCGATTTTAACGAAAAAGTTGCTGTCATATCCGGCCCATATACAAACCTTAAATTCTTAATATCAATTTCGTACTACTTTTCGTTTATGAGCTAGACTGTTAACACACACACACACACACACACACACACACACACAGACCATTTTGCGACACTTGGTTATTTGGAATCAGGAGACCTCAAAACATTTATTTCTGTTGAAAATTGAGATTCGAAAATTTTCACGATCGCAGTACTTACCCTTAATATATATTACATATATACGTAAGTGAAAGTAATAATTAATTGGGAATAAATTATATTATTCAATTATTATTATTTCTGAACAATAATAAAATTCAAACTTATTTCATTGTAAATATTCTTTAAAGTAGTATATAAATTGAATATTTTCTTTTTCTTTGCTGAAAAGTACTTGAAATTATTAAAAAAAAAAAAAGAAAGTTTCTTTTCCCAATTAAACATTTATCGATCCAAGTTTACTTGTTTTGTTTTTTTAATATGTTCTTCTATCCTGCCCTATGTTGAAAACTTAAAATACTGAAAAATACTTTTTAATCAAATCAAGTTGATGGTCAAAAATAATTATATCAAACATTTAACATTTTCACCCTTAAAAATTTCTAACCTCAATTTTAAAGGAAGAATTTAAAAGCAGTTATTATATTTGGTAATTTATTTTATGTATTAAAATAAAAAATCAAATACATTCTTTGTATTTTAGAATCTTAGAAAGAAATTTTATTTGAAATAGTGCTAGGTTAGCTCCCACCAAAAGAATTAATAATATACCAATTCCTTCAAACGGAGAAAAGTATTTCTCATATATATATATATATATATATATATATATATATATATATATATATATATATTATATATATATATATATATATATATATATATATATATATAGTGTATACAAAAATTGACCGGTTTATCAAATTCAAGATTTCAAAGGATTGTAAATATTTTAATCATATTTAATACATACTAGTACTTTGATACAATACAATTAGAACATTCTCCAAGCTTGTTTAATCCCATTCCACTCCTTCAAAAACAGCCTCAGTTTAATTATTTATTTCAAAGAAGAAAGATGACAATGTCCTACGAAATTCTCGTAATTTAAGGTATTACTGGCAAAAATATTTCACTGCCGCTGAAGCAACTTGTGATTATTAATTATGAAAGGGAAGGTGTCCTTGACCAGCGCACTTCGCAGTGTTGGTTTGAAAAATTTAGTAGTGGAGATACAACGTTGGAAAGGAAGAAGATCTCCGGGCGACCATTAATGGATATTGATCAGGTTCTGCAGAAAGCAGTTGAGTCAAATCGATATGAGGTTAGAAATGTGTAAAAATGTATTGAAAAACCCTTCTGATATAAGATCTTGCCTCATGCACGATATAGTCCAGACCTCGCACCATCGGATTACTATTTATTTAATACTCAGTAATGTGTAATCATACATGAAAATAAAATCTAGTCTCATAGGCGCAGATCTCAGAAGGGCGAGGGGGCGATCGCTCCTCCCCCCTCCCTTCCCCCCCAATAAAAATGTTGATAGAGTGGGAATATCGTTTCGCTCTGCCTCCCAATAATTTGAGGTAAAAATATTAAAATCAATAATAAATAAGCTACATCAATGAATAAAATGTGTAAGCTAAAATCGATTAAGAAAATTCGAATAGCTGGCTAGGCTAGGGACTAGTAATGGGCATGTTACTATTTTATTGATACCTAATTGCTACTTTTATTTGAATTGTCATTTATATTCAAAAATAATAATATACATATCAACATATCCTAGGATCACCTCCCAATTTTCACGTGATATGCTTATCACATTTTCGCCACAAATGGATGGGACTGTGGAAAACGTATTTTTATTTGAGGTTGTACACACTAACAAATCAAAGATATTTTTTAAATTTTTTTACATAACATTAAAAATTTCTAGAAAATATCAAGTTATGAAAACTGTCTCCTCTCCTACCCGTGTTTAATCTCAACAAATACGTAATGTATTCCATTGTTCTATTTTTTTTTAGATATTTTCAAGTATATGTAATTAGTAAAACAAAAAAACAATCCTTACAACTATGTAAACATATAAACGAATTAATTTTAAATATTCAATATTATATATATTCGTTTCACAATAATTATGTTCAATTTTTACACATAATAAAAGCTACCACCATGTAAATATATATATATATATATATATATATATATATATATATATATATATATATATATATATATAAATATATATTTTTTTTTGGTCCATCGCCCACCCACCAATCGAATTAAAAATTTTGCGCCTATGCCTGGTCTAATGCTAAAGAGTTAAAACATATTTTTTGACTAAACATCTTTCAATAAGTTCTAGATAAGAAATATCTTAAAGTACGGAAAATGTCTTATTAGAAATAGTAGCCCTGCTTTCTAATCTACGCTGAAAGGACAAGACATCAATGGTCTCAATAGGAACGCTACAGAACGCTTTACATAACGATCTATCAACCACTAGTTATTAAAGTTTTCTTCCTTGTTAGCGTTTTAAAAAAAAATAAATAAAATTAATTTCAATTTATTTGACTACCCTATTGAGTTCAATTGCAATATTTAATTTTTGGGTAATTTTTGTGATACAGAAGTAGTTAACAGTAATTGAATTTATTTTGAAGTAGTGTAGTATGTGTATAGCTTTATATAATTTGGCATATGGTTCATTGATAATATGGTTAGGCGGTTAAAGAAAATTATGATATGAAAAATACAGACAATGCTAACAGCACATAAAGTCACTGAATCTTAAACAATTTTTCATGGATATAACAAATAAAAAAAAAGGTAATAGCGGAGAAGAAATTACAGTATCTATTGACATAATGTATTAAATAAAAATTGAAGTAATCTTCAATTTAAAAAATCAGAAGATAATTAGCCAATCATCTAAAGAATAAAATTAATGCGCTCAAAAATAAATAAATAAAATAATAAGAGATCCATGAATGAACACAGAAAAACACCGCGAAGTAGAGTTCAGGACATTCACCAGAGCTGAAAGAAAAATGAAACAATCATGATATCTATTTTTTTTAAGTACATATTAATTTTATATTTAAAATCACTTAATTTTTACTCTAGTGCATTTTGTATTTATAACATTACAAATATTAAAATATTATAAAAAATGTAATTATAGCGCAAAACGGACATACAACCCTTAATTAACCAGTGCTATTAATACGACTTTCGGTAAATAGGAATACTTAGGTAATAGGAAATTGATATAAATTTAAGAAAATATAAAAAAAAAATAATAAATACTATTAAAACAAAATATGACTACTAATAAGTTATGAACTTCAACTATAATGCATTCGATGATTTCAGGGGTTGAGTTGTATTCGAATAAAAACGTCAAGTTTTGCTTTGATATCCAAAGTTAAAAAAAAAAAAAAAAACTACTCAAAATTGGCAATGAGTTGACATTTGTAAAATTTCTTGGTATCAAAATTTCTTATATAAATATTGCGGACATACATGATAAAGTATCAATAAACGTTTTTGTTCATAGAATTTTTTTATTGAAGATAAAAAAGTAACCAAAGCTGTTGTTTTATGTCAAAGGAAAGAAGACAAAAACGACAACACGCTTTCTGCGAAATTTGACGAAGACGAAGCTGCACCGAAGATGTACCAATCTTCGACTTTTCAAGAGGGTTTCGACCTTGAAAAGCTATCCTCAGTTCATCCTCGATAGAAACATTTAAATTTCCGTTTACTCAAATGTTATTTTCGATGGTAAAAATTTTGGATGAGGTGCTACCAAAGGTCCCGTGTCCCCTCCCCCACCTGAGAGCAGCTTTCTGTAGCGATCGGGGTTAAGATGGCGACTATATAAGCGGCCTGCCTGGTCAGTAAGTGAGAGTCTTGTTTAGTGCTTGTGAAAGTGAAATCAACGAGACACCGTCAAAAGGTATATCAATATTATATAAATATTATTTAAAAATCAATTAATACACATGTTTTTTTTTTTATAATGGTCTAGCTCTCCACCGAAAGAGTTTTCATGTCTTAGGGGTTGATGAGCAACCCTATTGAAAAAGCGCTACGCCGAACGCAAGAACTCAATTCTTGATTTAAGAAGTAATTCTTGATCAATATAATGTTAAAGTTGGAAGATTAAATTTTTATATTTTCAGATATTGTTTAAAATACGGGGGAAAAAATGTATCACCATCACAATTTCTTTATTTATTGGTATTCTTAATTACTTCTTGTGTGCATATCTCGCTGTTAAGAAGAAACACAATCAACTTTCAATAAATCTATATATAGTAAAATTAAAATCCTTATTAAAAAGATCAAATTACAAACCCCTTAGTATGGCTCAACTATACCGATTTATATGTTTACGAAAAAAAAAAATATATTGCTCAAAGCACCAGCGACGATCTAACCTTATTGTTGCTGGTATATTATATAATAAATATATGCCTATTGGTAAATATATTTGTAAAAAAAAAATGAACAAATAAATGATACAATGATTTTAAATTTTCTAAAATGAAAGGGTTGGCAAATCATTTCACTGATCATTTTTATTTTTCAAAATACAACCCTTCAAATCGCATATTTTTATTTTATTTTTTTCATACTTTAAAAACTACCTGAACATTATTATACCTAGGAAGGTAGTATTTTTTCATTTTAAAGATAAAAATTGCATGTTACTTTTAAATTTATTCATATACTAACCTTTATTTTATTGATTTTCATGCACTGATCAAAATTTTAATAAGACTAAATATTTAATAATTTTTCAAGAAGTTACCCATACATAGGAATCGATTTATTTGATTAATTCTATAGTAAATTATTACATTTGTTTTTAATAAACTGAACATCTGTACGGTGCCTTTGGAATGAAAACAAGAGAAAAAAAGTTGGAAAGATGGCATTGAAGAAGAGCCGCTTCGACAAGGCCAAAGGAAAAAGGAGATGAAACCTTGCTCATCGTCGCAATAATTCCGTTATACACATATAATTTGCTAGTGATGAGATACGTATATCCGTGTGATTATATATATATACACCTATACATATAATATAAAAAATTATATAAATTATATTTAAAACACAATTTTTTTTTCCCTCTCAAATGTCGCGTTTTTGCCACATTTTTTTTTTCTTAAGCCTTTGTTATTTTGTGTAAAGTATATCAAAAATATTTTCAGGTACACTAATGGAACTTATGTACTTGCGAAATTTAGGAAATATGGAATAAAATGGATACATTAATGAAATATATTTATATATCCCATTTTATTTCATATATCATGAATTCCGCTTGTACAAATATTTCATAAGTGTATTTGAAATTATTTTTGATATACACATCAAATATTAAAGGCTTGAGAGATATGGCAAAAACTTGATACTTAAAGGAAAAAATGATTAATGTATTAAATCTGGTGAAAGTGTATATGAGAAATTTGAAATTCATTGATCTGAAATATCTCTCATGACAAGTCGAAATTCGTGGCAATAATAGCTTCAAGAAATTTGTGAAAATCGCTGCAATGATTTTATTATCGTTATTTCTCACTAATTATTTATAAGTATTTCAATATACTTTATTGAGTATATATGATCCAGTTTAGATTCAATTTTATCATTTCTTTGTCGTATTAGTAGGTTCTTGATAAAGTTTCTTTCTTATTTTTTTTATTACTTTTTAAACTTCAGCCTTCAGGGTTTCTAGTTGCCTAAATGCCTCCTGAAATGAAATGTATATGAAAATGACACTTAAGTTGTGTAATGAGTTTGCTGAGAGAAAAAAAAACACGCAATAAAATTTTGTAGTAACCTCTTATATGAGTAATCTGCAAAAATTCTCTTTTTTAAAATATTTCTTTAAAATTTTACCATGTAATCAATGAAACTTTCGCGGGCCAGATTGGAAGTACATGCGAGCTGGATTGGAAGTACTCGCCGGCCGTAGTTTGGAGACCCCTGATCTAGTACATACGAATTAAAGAATACCTTAATTTCAGTTTCCCAACTGATTATATACCTTGGGCCGTAACATGTACTTTACAAGTTTTTCCATTACAAACATTAAGGGTCATAAAATGAAAAGTTGAATTGGGATTATGGGGCGGAAACGATCTCATATTCTGTTTCAATAATTCTTTTCGAGATTAATGGGCTGCAACTTTCTCTTCATTACTCATCCACAACTGCGCTCTTGGACCGGATCATTTTTTTTTTAATGGTCTGCCGTGCATCGAGGCCGCCTCTCACATCTGGTGTGCTCTTCCTCTCGGTTTGGGCTTGTTAGTGAACCTCGGCGACCCCTTCCATATAGGGAGCAAGTAATGGGGTTTATATATCTTTTATAAGCACTTAACTGGGCTTAGGCAATGAGAAGGGACTTGAAAGTGAGCAAGTACGACTATTGGTGGGACATCCAAGTGGCTTTCTAAAGTGGGAAGCAGCCTCGCAGGGAAAGCCTATTGACACACTCGTATAAGGCTTCGACATCACATTAAAGACTGCTTCAATTTAACAGTTGACCAATTGATCAATGATCTATCAATTAAAGGTTTATTATCTTGTTAAGTAATGCAAATTTATTTAAGGTAAATGTACCGGTAATAGAAACTTTAAGAGTATTCGCGAACATTAATGTGAATTACAGCTTAATTTCTGACGGTAGATCTTTGGAAATGGGTTTAATTGATAGTCAATTAGTTTATTATTCTTGAAAAAATTCGGTCAGCGTATTTTTACCAGTAATAAACACTTGGGGTCGACATATTTTTTTATATTATTAAAAAAAAATTCTTCCCAGTTTGAAAAAAGGATATGAAAAAAAAGTGATTAGGAAAGCTCCCTGAAACAAACAAACTCCATTGAAACATCAACTTAAAAAATCAACTAATCGGCTATTTTGCCATGATATCACCTAAGATTCGGAAATCACCTTCCTAAGTAATCTAATAGTATTTCAACTCTCTTTCGGACCTATAAAGCTTGTTACATGTTCACGACTTGACATTACTGATACAGCGTCTATTACTCGTACATTTACCCTAAGATGATTATAAAAGTTGTGGAGTATTTAATTTGGAAAGTAATATGGAAGATAACAATTAATTGCCTGACCCCATTGGAAAAATTCCTCCTTGAAGTTTTCGTATCTCTAAACCATGGTCTTGGAAAAGGGAAAAAAAACTTTTATTTTCAAAAAGTTTCAGTATCACCGGAATTTGTCCATAGTTTTCAGTTGTTTTGGAACTGAGAACCTTTTTCCCTAGCAACTCTTTAACTAAAGATTTTTCAGAACTTTTATTTTTTAAAAACTTTTATTTAAAAGTTTTTTTTATTTTAAGGCCTAAAACTCTAGAGTCATCAACGCCAATTCATTTTTGTTCTCTGGAGTTTCAAAACTCTATTTATTTAAAAATTCTGTAGATTTCACTAAAAATTCGATCTAAAAAATGACTTTTATCCATAGTTTCTCAAACAAACGACGCATTAGGATCATGTGTAATTTATTTAGAACAAATTAAAACTCTAATTTAAGTTCAACTGCTGTTCAATAATAACTTATCAAAAAGTTGTCCATATATTTCTTATCTTTTCCACGAGCAAGTAGTACGAGTTTATTATAACTTCGTGTTCTCCCCACAGCATTGTATCTGATTTTGATATTCCATGGTTTCAGGTTTTAATGTCTTCATTTATACGGTAAAATTCATTGAATAAATCAATAATACATTTTCATTACGTTTTGGTGGATAAAACATATAAAACAAAATAACAACATAACGTATCTTCTTCTATTGTACTTTTATTTTCTAGTTATACAATTACAACCAGATTTTCATCATGTACTTACAAATTCTTCTACCTTTAATTGTACAATATTGGATGCTCATGTACGACCAGGGATACCCATCCCCTTCCTAAAGATCGAAAGTGTGTGAACTCTTCCTTCTTTTACCTCAAAAACAGTGCAAGCGAAAGTAAAACTAGAAAAAGCTTAGATCATATACGATAACACCCCTTATTAGATATGTTTATATATTTATGAGAGATATGTTTCTCACCTTGTTCCTTGGTTTGAAACTTTTCACTTCGCGAATTCATAATCCTGTCGAAATGTGCCCTCTCAAAAATTTTTATGGCGCACCATGAACAAGTCCATCCAGGAAGCATCTATCGCCATCATTGACATGTTGTTGATTACTTGATGGCGTTAAAGATAGACCCTGATTTTGTAGAGGCGGAGTAGTCATTAGTTCGCGACAAGGTTGTATAAGTCGTCCAATGCTGACAGCTGATTGTACGCAACGTTTTGTCACGTCTCATCTTGAGGGTGACAATCCTATAGATATGCGTGGAAAACAACTACAATCATACAATGGCCCTCGTTTCGCTGTGTCCTGTTTGATGTTAGGGTTACTGACACGAGCGATCCAAGTTTAAGTGTGAGTAACAATCTGGTGGTAGTGCTTTAATGCATTAATGCTACCTTGTTTACCACAGTGGAGGTTATATTACAAAACCAAACAAATATATACCTATATTACATACGCCTTATATATATTATAGGTCAAGGTTATATCGCTTCATGAAATGTATAGAGTAACATAAAATCCTGCATGATGATGTTCAGTATATTCTCATACACAATAAGACCACTCATAAAAATAACTTTGAGTCGTTAAATAATCACGGTTCTATCGCAGAAAGGTGACAGTTCAAGTTGTTTTTAATATGATACTGCAGTACTGCAGAGAAAGTAGGAAGCTTAATGCGGTTGACCAATGCATTTAAATCTGAGAGCGTATTTGACATTTGCTTGAAAGGATATTGAGGAATGGAAGATTGCACAATATGGCAGGATTGATGGAAGGCCAACTTCAAGTGTCTTTAAATGTCACTCAAAGCTTCCGAATTCCTCGA